ATCTATAGAAGCGGATGATGATGCAGATTAGTTTAATTATACTTAAACTTGCTTACGAAAATCAATAAACTATAACGAAAAGTTTACATTCAACGAAAATATTTCCAACTACTTTAAATAATTATATTTGTTTGTTTAGACAACAAACAGGTCGTCGCTTGCATCACGCTCTACCGAATTCTGGATCCCTGATTGGCTAATTAGAACTCGTACTCGGCAAGCTCCTAACGCAGGACCTGCTCCTGGCGACACAGTCGTGACATAAAAATTTCTAAACCGACTGCATCGATTGAGTCGGATGGCGGATGCGAAGCTCATATTTAAAATGTGCATGCATATGCAGACATAATTATGCGGCATGTGTACTCCGCACTTAAGTCTGTGATCTCAATTATTATTGTTTATTTATAAATAAATATTGTACATTACTACGCGTAACAAGTATCGCAAAGTAGAGTACATTTTCGAGTTCCCAAAACTAAACAAAACAGATCAGGATAGCTAATATTGATTTTATTGTAAGTATACAATATGATATACCATGATGTTTTTAGTACCATAAGTATTGATATATTGTATAAAAAGGTCGAACACAAAAGAAAGATCCTTCGACCGAACAGAACTCGAACCTGTAACTGTACTAAATCAGAGCTATCGCTCCACCGACTGAGCTACAGATCGATCACGGCATAGTCGTATGTGGCAGTACTTTCCTGAACGAACTCTTTCACAAGGAACTCTACTGCTGCTAAACTAATTATAACAAACTAGTGACAGCTAAGCTGGGAGAACGTTTTTTCTTGTGTAGGAAGACCCGGATTCGATTTCGACAATCCCTTCACTACAGAGTCTTTTCGAATCAAGAGTAATTTTAGGTTGCTAATTGTCCTGAGCTGGACTGTGGCTCAAACTCTCTCCCATCAGGAGAGCCTAGGTATAGTACGTTTATGGATGGATAATTATCCAGCCATACATTTGCGTTATGGAACGATAGAAGTCTTCATGTGGTCATTCGTTACTGATTAGCAAATTGACTGACAAGGACTGAGTTTCGTTAGCTATGACAATGGAGCAGAAACACTGCTATTTTCTGCTCCGTTTTCGTAGATATCGAGTCTAACTGTGCCTAGCAATCATGGAGTAGGTTAAACAAATTCTAAGTGAGGGATGTGGTTAAGAGTGGTAGGGTCTCAGTTAGAGAACGAGTGCTCTTCAATTGAAATAGCAGCGTGTAATTTAATAATTCTAAGTTACATACATAATTAACATAGTAACTGTCGCTGTGGCCGAACGGTTACCATGCTGGTCTGATACAGAGATGTCCCGGGTTCGATTCCCGGGCCGGGAGAAATATTAGCATTTATTTCTCTCGTGAGATTGGGTGTAATTTGTGGTTGTCTATGACGCCCGCGAGACAGGGTATCCCTAGTGCGGGGCTAAAAAAATGAGAACATTTAGTAGCCACACCAGGAAAACATCGTGATGAAATCTGCACGTCGTAGAAGACTCACAATTCGTATGAAACGGATGAACGGGGCTTCGTAACTACACTGGGCCAGAGTGGCAGAATATTCATACCCATATTTCAGTTATACATATAGATAACTGAAATCAGTGCAAGGACTTTCAGATTCGACATAGTGCAATGACATCTAGAGCAGAATGGATATTTTGTCAAACATGCACAGTATAGGTGCACAGTCAACTGGCGAGAACAATGGGCTTACGTTGTGGCGTTCAGCTGAAAACTGTTGGCTTTCAATTTATTGCCTCGCGATTTATTGCGCTGTTACACCATATGCGCAGTTTTATTATTCTATAGGTGTTTATTTACGTGTCGTTTTCCGCCTTGTATTCGGGGTTGTGAAGCACAACAAATCATAGGTGGTTTATTTTTCATTAAACCTAATACTACTTTTCGACCCTCTCTTCACTAACGGCCGTGTTTGTCATTTTTGCCGTAACTCAGTGAGACCTACGTGCTTAGCTTTTTCAAGCTCACATTCTCTACCAATTTTATTGTCGAATGTCTACCACTTGATTTGTTGAACATAACTTGTTGATTGAACGAGTTCGACACGAGCTCCAGCTCAGTGAAGTCATCAATACGTCGCCCTTAAACATTTTACTTATCCTTGTTATGACTAATTATATTATTATATAATATATAATTAATAATATAATACTTTGATGAAGAACAATATTTGTAATTGTTGTGCCCCCATTTTATAATTTTAACTTTTTATTTGACGATTTCAATATACTTTGGCATGTAGTGCAATTTGTACTGTAACATTACACTTGAGAAATAAATAATGTAATCTATTAATCACTGTTTATAATTAATCGCTGATCTGTTCTTTAGATGAGAATCTATTTACAACTAAATATTTGTTGTAAATTGAGTTTTGTTCAAATTGAATGATATTATTACAAAATATTCATTGGTTCCTTATCTGGACGATTCGATTTGCTTTTCTATTGAATAGTTTCGCTCAAAAATTGCATAGTAATAAATCGATACTAAAATCGTTAGATCGTTTGCACTTGAAGCGATCTTCATAAAAATTGAATCGTAATGTGCATCCTTACAGTAAGACTCCACATCATTGCAAGGGGGATGTGGAGTTCCTCTTTGTCGCATTTACATCGATATTTGTAATAAAGTAAGTATGGAATTATACCGAATTTTTTATTGCTCTGCTACCCAGTGTATATTGTACGCCATGTTAAACTGCGTACTTATTTAATAATATTATCGGTGTATCTTGGGTAACGTTCAATCATACTCAAGTTTAGAGTGTAAGTAGATACTTAAACTTATTAATCATGGGAGATTGATATTCGATGGAAAAAATTGTATTTACTTATACCTCTTTCAAACGTATGCAGACGGATTGTACCCATAATGTTATGCCTATTTCTAAGTCACAGTTGTTGTATCAACGTCGTTGCCGTCGCCGTCGGGGCTCTCACGGGTTTTCGAGAGCTTACGGCTCGCCGGCTCCCACAGCTCGTGTTTGCTCGAAACGCCGTCAAGGGTCCTTATAACTATGGATATGCTTATTTCGTACAGAATATTCTAGTACGATCTTCAACATTTTAGTACTTATTCGCAAAACGATTATTACTCGTCACAGGTTCTTACCACGTGGTATAATTATACGTTTTTTTTGTTAACTCGAGAGAAAAATAGAATATCCTACTGTGGTAAGTAACCCGTGATAAGTAAATATTCTATTCCTTTGTCTAGTAAATGCGTATTTAATTCCAGTTTGAATAGCCTTTCCTTGTAGGTTTCGAGAAATACAGACGCCGGTAGAGCATTTCATTCCTTTGCCCTACGTTTCGGGAAGGATGAAACAAACCGCTACATGCGAATAGGTAGTAATAAGGTACCTATAGGTTTGAGAGGTGCGGTAAATGTAGATGATAATTTTATTACAGAAGCTCTGTTCCCTACAGGCGCTCCAAGTAACAGTTTAAATTGGAGGTGGTTTCGCTCTGGTGCCGCCGCGGCGCGTCAACGCCAGCGAGGCGTGCGCGCGACTCGGAAAAGGAAACTTCAATTACGCACGCCGCTTACGTGTATTCGCGACTCGAAATTCTGTTGAAAACAATTATATTACCTTGACTTATTCAAAACACATTGACGGTTCAAAAATTGTCTACGCAAAAGCCACGAAAGGCAATGGACGTTATTTTTCATCAATGCCTGTCGCTATCAATTGCCATGCATGTAAATTGGGGCACCGCCGTTGAGCTTAGCCTGTGTCGAACGCGAAACGTACACGAATATTTAACGATACGCAAAAATGAGATATTGTGACTTTACATGACCAACGTTCGTCCTTAACGTCGTTGAGAGCACATTTACGTGAATGTAGTTTGCGGTCAATTTTTGGGTTTCATTTCAAATTTTTGCAACTAACCTTACCACAATAACGCGAAGTGCACACTCATGTTAACATAATATTGCCTAGTTCAGTTAGCTCCACGCCCACGGGCAAAGTGGGAGGCAAAGGTGAAAAGTACTAGTTGTTACCTAATTACCCCCAAGTACCTATACAGTAGTAAGGTTGATCTGAGATACATTTAATAAGCGGAAACGCTCCATAGAGGCTTTGTCTGCTGTAGACATAGCACAGTGACGTTAGAACGTCCGGGCCAGAGCGTTTTTCATCGGCGCCTGTCGTTGTCAATTAACATGTAAATTGAACTCCGCTCGCTCCGACCCGGACGCGTCAAGTTCAGCATCATGAGTACAGCCCCTGCCAGGGTGCGGTTTTGTCGTTTAATTTGATCCAATTACGTTCGACTTATAATTGGGATGTGAACTCTTTTCTCGCGGCGTTTAAGTTCTTGTACGTGTCACAAACTTGTGTGCTCAACTCGTGGTACGTTGGATATAGAAAAATTAACTATAGGGTCGTAATTTAAAGTATAATTACTGTATGGAAAATACATTTATTTAATATTCAGATTAAAAAAAATAACCTATGATTGTAATACAGGGGCAACAAAATGCTCTATCAGAGCTTTTTCTCAATTCAATCAATTTCTTTAACTCTGACAATGAAACGATCTGTCATAGTGCGTGGGGAGTGAGAAATCCCGCATGTGATGGGATTAGTGGCTGCCTATGATCTGGTAAAGCCCATCATAAAACCCACTGCAACGCGCGCGACACACTTGCCTTTGTGAATATACTATAGTAGATTTGCTTAGCTCATTAATTTTATACGCTAATAATAATACATGGTTAGAAATACGGTTGCCTGTTGTAGCCCGTCCTTCATTCAGTGGTCTTGTATAAAGCAGCTGGATGGTTGTGGTTCGTAATAGATAGATTTATATACCGGTCGGATAATCCTATGTTACAGTGATTGTACTTTTTGACTTGGGCAGTATCGTGTGTTGGAGTTTGGCAACGTTAGATAGCTTAACTTATTCTTAGGCAGAAAGTTTTCAATTAAATATCAAAGGAATCTGTCTCTTACCCATGGCGAAGAGGATGAAGAGAATGGCCCAGGAGCACATGGTGATGGCAGTCGGCAGCGGCGCTTACATCTCACTGTCCCACTCGCACTTGCACAACACTGAATCCTGCAACAAGATAAAGAATAATTACGAAGTAATATACACGTAGTGAATAAAGCGCTGTGCTTTTTTGGGGTTTTTTGTCGGGGTGTATGAAAGGAGGCTCCCCGCACGACTTACTATCCCTTTACTGCACTGCAATAATCGGCGAGTCCCTTACACCGATCGGCAAATCCTTTCACCACGACGGCAGGCATTAGAGTGTATGCCATCAATACGATAAAGAGAAGAGCTCATAGCATCTATGAATAAATAAATAAAATAAATAATTACGTGACTTGAGGATTTTTTATAATTATGTTATATTTAATAATTAAATAAAGAATTGTCCAATACTTAATAAGATTAACCAAACAGATTCTTGTTCGATACTTTCAAATTCCATTCTTTTGATAACATTTTAATTGTTTTTGCTTATATGTTTACTATGTATTATAATTTATCTAGAAAGATGTTACATGTGGTGTAAGTGTGGATAATAAAAGTAAGTGGCTTCCTTACAAGATATGAAAGTGCAAGGTACATCCGCATATTCAACAATCACAGGTTCGCAACTCTATCCATGATTCTAATTTATCTCTCTACTCCGTAACAATGTCCATGGACTAACTGAGAGGTGGCCAATCTGTCGTGTGGAAGGGAGGAGGGTTGTTTGTCAAGTGGTTGCTTTAAAAAGTGGTCGCAGAGATTTATCGCCGCTTCTCGCGAGATTTATGTTCAGCTGCGGTTTTAATAGTTTTTACAAAATTGTCATATATAGTCGTGGGTATCTATTGCCGGAAAGAACAAGGATATTTTCTTATAAGATCTTTTTTATAAGTAGTTTCAGGAAGGGAAAAGAAACTCAAAATGAAGGAAATTAGGTAAGGATATTTATTTAACTTTCATTGTGCTCGTTTCTTTAAGCATTTTCTTTACAATTGCCTCAGTGAAGTGAGTTTTTGAAATGCCAATATGGTTCAGGGCCTAAAATGTGTTAGACCTGCAATGTATTAAATACACGTGACATCTCAATTCTCTCTCCCAAGAGTCTTTAAGGGCGTCCATTAGGCATTAACCCGAGCCCGGATCGCTCAAAGGCCTTTCTTAAGAGCGACCGCAGCCGGCGAAGGGCGAACAAACGCCTTACAAATCAGTCGCTTGAATATTCCCACCTCTAATTAGCGGTGTTGCCCCGATTGTGGAGTGGGTGGATTGAGCCTTTAAGAGGTTTGCAACCTATAAATAACTATGGGGAGAGAGAGTGAGAGGTCGACGGTGGGCACTCACTCACTTACGACTTTCACGTCTAAGTTACGTATATCTGTGAATGTTTAGTCACAATACCAATTTAGTCACAATATATATATATATTATATCCGTGGCCGAATGGTTATCATGTCGGACTGCCACGCAGAGGTCCCAGGTTCGATTCCCGGGCTGGGAGACATATTTCTATGACATTTATTTCTCTCGTAAATTTGGGTGTAATTTGTGGTTATTTATGAGTGTATCCATGGCACTCGCGACACAGGGTCTCCCTAGTGCGGGATTATGTTTATGTTGAGTATGTGCGTTATTTAGGACACCCAACAAATTTGGAAAACTTTACTTGAAAAAGTTTTTTATTTATTAAACTTTGATTTAAAAAAATGTTAAACTGTTACAATTTTAATTTTTTCAACTTTGCAGGAATAAAAATTGAGTAAAGGTGCTTTTTCACTGTCGAAGTAAAACGAGACAAGGCGAGACGAGAAATTATATCTCGCCGGCCTATTTTTAACAAAAAAAGGCGTTTGATATTAATAGCCGCTAAATGTGCCGGTCATGTATTATAAAAAGTTGTAAGTAAAAAATGCTTTTATTAATGTAACCTTTTATAATAGTGTTAAATAATACTACAGGCAGGAGGATACTTTAACAATTAAATAGTGACTTGATTATAATAATAATAACGCTCACACTCCACATAGCCCCGCACTAGGGAAACCCTGTGTCGCGGGTGCCATGGACACACACATAGACAACCACAAATTACACCCAAACTCACGAGAGAAATAAATGTAGGCCATACAAATATTTCTCTCGGCCCGGGAATCGAACCTGGGACCTCTGCGTGGCAGTCCGGCATGGTAACCGTTCGGCCACGGAGGCAGTTACAATTACATATACGTGTAGCATTTTTTGGATGTTTTTAACGAGGATCGATTGTAATCAAGTCTATTCCGACTCTGTGACATTAAAGCTTGTTGCAAGAAATGAAGAGTCTTATCTCCGTGTACCGACATGTGACTACACCTCTACAAGCAAACAAGTGTATGAAATTTGAAAGGGAATATGTTTTAAAATCGGCTTGCAATTAAGTGAAGTGAAGTAAAAGAATTTAACCTCGTGAGACCCAGCAAACTACACACAATGGGAAAAGCACTAAACGCCCATTGTGCAAAATATGATTACATGCTTCAAGCTCAAACAAGTATATAGTTTTGTGTAATAAACGTATTTTGTATACATCCTTTATAAAGAAAATAATATATCGCGGTTAATTTGAATGTTATATTTTAATTGGATGTATACGTGATCACAGGAATAATATTCTTTGAGTCTGAATCGCTTCACATATTATGTACATTTTGATGTACACGAGGCCTTAGGAAGATAAACAACATTATTATGGCAAGACTAATCGAAGGTATATGGTAAGTGGAAATGCAACATGTTCCCATAACTTTTGTCGCCAAGTGGTTGCGTGAATGCAAAAATCGTAACATTTCGATTCAAAATGGCTGTGACAATGTTACTGAACAAACAAATACTAAACAGGAACCTGTAACGCTAGATACATACACATAACTAACACATAATTCTCATGAGGCGTAGGTTTATGCGGTGGTTACTATGAGTATTCCAACTAACAGCCTCGCTGCACACCGCACCCTGCCGCCAGCGCTGCGGCCGCAATCCAATGTAAAGGCTTGACTGACTTAATCAAATTCAATTAATTTAACCCTATGTGACAATTCTATTGGTTTTCAATTTGTGTAGGTTTGTTTATTCGATACTCGGGTACTCTGCTAATATTACAGCTAACAATATTGAGAACGCTCGCGTATTGAAATTGTGTTTCATTCTTGAAGGCGTCGGTCACTCATCCGCCGTCGGCCGTCCACACTCCAACACGAGCACTGAGCTCAGTGTCAGTCTTGTGCTGCAAGTCGCCACGCTAGCTTTTCTTAGATTTTTTTTGTAAAATTAGAAGAGTTTCGAATTTGTCCTAAAGGCTATTTTACACCACAACGCCACACGCAAGAAGGGCAGTAGCATCTCAGACTTAGATATGGCTTTATTGCGGTAGTTAACCCGAGAAACAAGTGCTCCTTCAATGGAAAGGCTTAATTACATCATTGGACTTGTAATTTTTATTTAAGTCGAGAGAAATAATTGCATAACATATTAACGGATGATTAACTGATTGGCAAATTGAAAATGTAATTAATTTCTGTTAATCTCGATGTTCCCAAAAGCGAGCAGGGCTCGCTTGCTCGATTTCGTGGAGCTCGCTAACCAATAAAATATTTTAAAGTCCAACTTGCCTTTTGTTCCGCGGCCTAGGAGGTGCGTGAAGCCATAATTAAGATCTACGAGTTCACTTTTGCAAGATTTCAACTACTTCTTGATCGATTCATGACTGATATTTGTTTAAGGAAGACCGATTTACAATCCCAATTATAAGACTAACAATGTGCTTTTGATCTTAACAAAGTTTATTGCAAAATTATTATTAAATGTGCACTCAAATGACGGAAATAACAAGCTATTGTATTATTATTGTACGTCCTAATACTATTGTTTGGACAATACAAACGAGCTCTTACAAACGGCAGTATGTACTCAAAAGTCCTCCAGGCCCCGATGAGGATCTGTCGCCGTGGGAGGTCGCCGACCCTCTCTCATTCTATATCTCACTTCACTTCGCGCTCAGTCTCGTGTTTTTTCTTCGCTTTGCCAATTTCCATCAAGCGCTTACTCGCCTCATTCTACTACTTTACAACCCTGTTCTACAAAAAACAAAGTTGATTTTCGTTTGTATTGCTAAACCTCGTCTGTTGGTTGGTGTATTTTAGGCACTTAGACTTTATTGCGTTCGCTAAAGAGCATATTTTGGTTTTTCATTTTTATGTCTCAATGTGAGTAAACTTTATCGCTATATTAGTGAGGCTGGTTGTTCTTTGTAAATGTATTTTAATGGACTATTCCGGTGAGCCGGTGTCTGATAGAGGATGGTGAAGTCGTCGGAAGGGGTACGGGGTTAGAGATCAATTATGCAAACTGAAGCACAACCGGCAACTAAGATAAGGCAATGACCAGAACCCTTAGTGATATGTAATTAATTACATTACATAGGGTAGATCTTGATCCTTAACTATTTAGGTTTAAAACTGAATAAATATTCACGCAAAAGCAGTTGGTACTTTGCTGCTAGTTACGCGTCTATAATGCTACGATTTCTAGATGCCCATATGCCAATAAAGAGCGTAGTTCTTAATAATACACAAGTAACGTTATGTTTAAATAAGAATTCCATATCCTAGTGTTTACAAAGAGAGAACAAGTTGCAGGAAGTCTGTGGAAAACATTACCGTGGAGCGATTCAGGGAGAGACTTTCTAAACGAGACCGCTGCACTCTTTCAATCCGCGTTCTGGAGGATTTTTTATTTGGACGCAGAAGTTTTATCTGTTTTTCTTTGAAAGTACTACCTCTTTGTCTCAAAGAGAAGTTGCTAGCACAAGTAAATAACTACATAATTGTTACTGACAAAAAGGTTCATTTATCGAAGAAAACAAAAATTGGGTTGGAAAAAAAATTGGAAAAAACAAACTTAAAACCCGGGGATAGTGTTTCAACAAACAAACAGACAAACGGCCGAATCTCACTATTATATCATCGCCGTATACTGACTATGAATATTAATCATGCCTGTTTGAAGATCCTTAACTGTGGTTGCGTTTACAAACAAATGTTTGTTGCAATCATATAATACAGCAAATAATCATGTAATATGAAAGTGTTGCATACCAATAAACATAATTAGTGTTGTGTAATTTCCTGCGCTTCGCCGCGCGTCGCGCTATCTCCCGACAGACTGACAGACGAACAGCCGGACGAATGGTGTGATACCATCGGGCGATTTGTCTAGTGATTTATTTGTATTAAATACGATCTACTACTATTTTTGTTGCCATTAAGTTTTGTTGTTGAACGTTTATATAGTTCGTTACATTTTGGTGGAGGGTTGTGTTCACTTCGTGATTTATATTTTCGAAATACTTCACTATCGAACCCTTAGGTTTTCGCAATTGTTATACATAGAAAATTAAACTATTTTTCGGGATTTAAATCGCGTATATTTGCTTTTTCAAACAATCCAACATTTCGGGCCCTTTACATGTAACATGGTCACGTCATGTCAGCCAACCGTTTCAATAATTGTTTTCTCTTTTTAGTTCAAAATACTAGAATGTAATTTAGTAATTTACAAAATACTTAAATATTCAGTAATGTGTTACTGAAGATTGGTTCTTGGTATTCTGGATACCAATTCCACAGAAAATGTAACAGCATCAAAGTTAGTGGTAAATAATACAGAAAATATGAGTTACATTGCGCCTTACTTTTCAGTTTTTCTAGAAAAGTAATTAACGGTTTGAAATACAAAACAAGGATCTTTGTCGGACCGGCGGCATGCGGCACGAAATGGCAGAGGCTGCGCTGCACAAATTACACGCAAATAAGATTAGCCGACGAGGCAGCCGCCTCACATCGCGCCCGCGCCCGCGCCCGCGCCGGCGTCGCACTCGCACACCGAAGAGGATAACGTAGAGTGTATATCGATAACTGTCTTTTACGTACACGTTATATAGAAAATAACGTAATCAAATACAAACATTAAATTCATACACCCGCCTTATGAAGTAGTACGAGGTTGCGGACTTTCGACGACGACGGTTGTAAAATAAGTTTTCTGCTTGAATGACGAAAATACTGGTGTTGTAATAAAGATACTCGAAGATAATTGGCGTAGTGGTACCGAATCGTGCTTCAAGGTCACTTTGTAATTTTCGCTGTGGTTTTCCACCGCATGGCGAAAAAGTTTTTAAAGAACATGCGAAGTTCTCAACTGGCGTTGGGCCACCTGCTAATCCTTTTGTAACCCTCTCCTTGAAGGAGACCCGTGCCCAGCATTGGGTCAGTACTAGGTTGTCGATGATGATTAACTTCGTATCAAAATTAATGGCCAGTGCCGGATCAAATTTAAAAAACACTTGTCTAAATAAAAACCGATTGATGGAAGTAGAGGGAGCTTTCACCCGCTGCGGCTGCGGCACTGTCAAGTTGCCGACGCAAAGTAGCCGCTTCATTATTCAGGACACATATTAGAGTTGCTCTCATGTTCGTCCGTGGACTCACCTACGCCGTCTTAGTATTTTTTATACAATACTAAATAATATAAAGTATAATATTCATTTTTGTTTGTCTATACAATTCAAATTTTGCACTACGTATCCCGTATATCTGATTAGCTTTCCTATATCTCAAAGCTTGTTTGGAAGGGATCACTCATAGCGATAAGGCCGCCTTTGCCCACATTAGTTTTAAACTGTTTATGTACTGTTTTTGTTCCTGTATTTGAGAAATAAAATGTATCTCTATCTGTCTATTTATTTAATATAAAAAAAAATTTGTTAATTAGAAAGCAAATCCTTCGTATTCAAGTAAGTTTTTTCTAAGTTTTCAGTTGGTATTTGAACGCGTACTAAAACTATTAGGTTAATTATTCAGAGCGCATGTTATCGCTGTCTTTCTTAGTTTACTTCAAACAACTTGGAGAATAGAGAATAGATTGACGCTCCGTTACACAAATTTCGATGCCGACATTTATGTAGTAACTTTTTTGAAAAACCTTTACAAATTTTACTTAACGTACATGTACTTAAATGAATTTAAATTTAGACTATAATTTCAATTCCAACTCGTAACAACAGCTTTGCAAATGACATTCACGCTATGCTAGTGAAAATTTTAGTATTCCCAAATATGAGCTAAACTACATCGTCAGCTGATTAACTGACTGCTTCTTCTGTCGAATAACCACAACCTCGGCGGTTCAACCACCACTCAACTCAAATTCACTTTAATTTGAAATTAACGTAATCAACCATCGACATGAATAAACCTTTCGAGCGTTAATTTCCGGAAAAAAATTCGTCACTTTAGCATTTAACCCTACTGTCATAATAAACGTAATTTGACATTTATGCGCGAGCGTCTGATAAATGCAAACATGGTCCAAAATTGTAATCTCAAATTATAAAACAAGTATAAAATCTGTATGGTAGGTGGTAAGTCAGCTAATTACGTACCGTTTTGTTTCTTTCGCACTTATGGTGGGTTGGTGTGTGGGATAGGGATGGATGGATGGACGCGACACCCGCCGGCGGTGGCGGCGCGAGCCTGACTAAATCTGTGCGGCTCTCACGAGGGTCAGGTCACCGGGTGCGATGCGTCCACATTGGGGCGCGTAATTTATGTTGAGTTATTAGGGGTGCATTTACTTTTCGAACTACATGCAAGGCTAGAATTTAAATATTGATTTTGTTTCTACTGTATTTTGTTTTGAAAGTGAAATGTTTATTTAAGAGCAACTTCGAATGTAATTACTGACATCAAATATTTTGACAACCCAAAAATCTGTCTATAGACGGAAAAATAAAAACATTTGTTTATTTGAATTTTGTGAATATTTGAAAACCTGAGATACTAGCCCGGCTTAGTACGAATAGTGCGCCTTTCTGTTCTACTGAGCTGAATTTTTTTACCTATCCTGACTCAGACCCAGGTACAATTATACCCTTAAATTTAATTTAATTTTGCACTACCAAATATTTTTTACCACAACAAAATATATTAGTATCTTAAAGTTAATTCATTGTAAATAACGTCTTCTCGATCTTTTTTTAACTCCAGCTTCCTACGCATGGGTGACTGACGGGCTGACAAACAGTGGGACGGTGGTTTTTTTTTGTTTAGCTGATTATCTAACATGTGAACGACTTGACCAGATGATGT